GGGGGGGGGGGGGGGGGACTTCCATAGCCTGCTCTGATATTTCACAACCTCTGCTACAGAGTTCTGAAAAAAAGGGAAATTTCTGTCTTCAGGATATCTTGTCACTATCATCTTTAATCACCAGGATAGTTTTTTATGTTTTTGCCAAGATTTTATGGGGCTGTTCACCATTTTCACTATATGTCTGTTTTAAACAAGCTAAAGTGAGTTCAACCTGCTGCAAAAAAAACCCGTTATTCAACTCATATTTAACATGCTGCACATCCTGCTAAAGGTGGGTGCTTGAAGAGGTGACAAATTGACTGAGGAGCTTACGACCTATTCCTTAAAGCTATTTGCAGCTTCTTTTATTTATATTTTTATTTTTTATGGGACACATAAACAATAATTTGGCCCAGGATGAAAGCTTTACCAGCCTCCCACTCCATGGAACATGAGTTGGTTGTACCCTCCTTGATTTCACAGGTCAACAAAAATCTGATTTTTAAAAGACTCATCATTTAACAAGGAAACATTAAAGTGCCAAAGACCAGCAGGCTTTGGGATATTTGTAAGCAGCAGGTCCAAACAAAGTGGGGGTTGGTTTGATATTTCCAACATTTCAATCTTACCCTCTCCAATTTGATACCACAAAGATATGGAAATCAAAATCAAACAGAAATAGTTACAGTGGGCAGAAAATATAAATGTTCACTTTCACACATCTCGGAGGCCTAAGTCTCCAAGGATCAATCAGGCCATACCAGCCTGCATTATGCCACTCTAAATCTGGAATTGCCAGTCTTGCATTGTAGGGCTTGTCCAGGAAAGGATGTAAGATTCCCACCCCACATAATCATGCTCAGTATCAAGCAGTTTACTAAAACCTTCATGAAACATGGCTGGGGAGTCATTATTGGGCCCATACATTTTAATCAAATCCATTACTTCTTTTACTGTAATTTCCAGCTGCAATCAAAAAACAATGATCAAATAAGTCTGTTGGATTGAAAACAGGTCATTCATAGAATAGGATTGTTACTCCTTCAAACCTGGTGGAAATTTCTATTACCTAGGCCTTTCCCACCTACTCAGTGATCAACTAATGTATATCTGATGTGTACCTGCCATCAAGGTATGTTTACTGTAAAAAAGTCACATACATTCTGTATTCCTTTGGTTTAAAAAACAATCCCTTGTTTGATTAGCTTCCACAGTCCCTTGACATTCCAAAAAGTCACTTCAACATGAAATTCTCATGGATGTTTTGTTCACTCTTGTGTACATGCAAATCTTGCCTTTTCTACAAAACAGTCTTATTTCGGAATAGTTCAAGGGTGAGCTTATGAATACGGTACATTTTGTGGCGCCAGCATTGCACCCGACAGTGAAAAAAATAAACAAACCACCCAAAATGTGAAAAAATAAAAAGTAGTAAACCAATTCTATCTAAAAGAAGAAATAATCACTAAATCAAGAAGGAAAATAAACTTTAAACTTCTGACTACAGTGAGCCCAAGCCATCACACTCTGGCCCTACTCAATCACTGATTATGGTACTGAATATTAAGACCAGCAATACCATTGATTAATATTAGCACTGACTAAAGAAGCAGAAACACAGAAATTAAGAGAGGAGGAAAGGGAGAAAGAAGAAAGAAACAGAAGGTTTTTGCTTCAGTTGATCAACCACATATATAAATATTGATTATTGGTGCATCAATACGATACTCAGCCAAGAATGGAAAAAGACATTGGAACATCCCATTTTGTCCAATCAATGGAAGGCCTGGCTGTTATCTATTTCAGAAGGGCTAACAGATCTTAGGGTACATTTAATTCAGCACAAATGATGTTTCCAGCTAGAATGACTTTCTGATAAGGGTTTAATTAACTCAATTGGCCAATCATTGCAGGTGTAATGCTGTTAATGGTTCTCTTTATTATATGTTTTGCCAATGCCCAGTGGCCACTTCCTTTTGGGAGGAGGTAATTATTTGCATAAATTTTGTGATGAAAAGTTCTCTAATGATATATATGTTCTTTTTTAATTTCCTATGTCATCTTTTGAAATTTAACACAAGGTCAGTGTAAATGGATTTTCTGTGCCCTTTTAAAATCTAAAAGACAATTTCTACAGCACTGGAAGGATAAATAGCCACCTGCAATAAGACAGTGACTAGAAGATACAATGGAAGTTCTGGTTTTTGAATGCCTGGCTTTTAGGTATAATTTACAAATATGTTAACAAGGAATATCTGGACTGCCTTTGTTGAAGTGTATGCATAATTATTTTTAACAAAACAAGTATGTTCCACTGGGGATATATAACATTTATATAATTAGTGTTATGGAACTTTTAGATTTTATCAAAAACATTCTAGTTCAGTTTGGCTTGTTTCCCCCTCTCTCTTTACGGTGTGGGGGTTTTTAACACAGAAAATCAATCAATCAATTTTATACTCATCAAACAAGGATGCAAAAACTTTGCAAGGACCAGATTCCATTCTGGAGAAATTCTCAAGATGACATTCCAGTGCTACTCAGGGCCAAACACAAAAGGGAGATTTTTCTAGCACTAAGCAGGGAAAAGCTCTTCTCTCCAATTGGCTGCTGATTCGAGATCAGTGGTTTCCATTCTGTTGCAGAGAGAGCAGGATTAGGGAATGAAGCCTGATGTGGAATCCCCACATGCTTATTATGATGCATGGGCTGAAGGTTCTCAAGCCATCCCATAAAACATTTGTCAATATATTTATATTTTTAAGCCATGTTGAAATGCCCACAAACATTTCCCCAGTGTTTAAGTTCTAATATGTTTAAGTTCTAGTATAAAAAGTCTGTTCTAGTATCAACACTTCTGCTATAGCAGCTGTCCTTAAATCAGTGCCCTCCGGGCTACAAGCCCCATCAATCTCGCCCCACAGCCACGGATTGCCAAACAGC